ACTGAAAGTTGACTTTTAGTCAGACTGGGCAAAAAGATACTGAAGTTTTGGCACCAACTTACTTAATTCCCTATTTTTCTAAGAGTTTGAGATGCAAACAAATGGCGACCTCTTTATGCCCAGTGCCACTTAAACATTAAAATTGTTTATAATTCAACAGCTATTGCATGCAGTTAACTAAAGGTATAGCAAACTAGCGAAGCATAAGTGGACATATTCAACCAGAGCATAAGTGCAAAATAATTCAATCACTTTTAAGGGCAAAAATGCACAATTTACTAATATATAAGAATAAAAAGACCTCATCGAGCCCAGTAAGGGTGTGTGCGTGTGTATATATATATATGTATATATATATTTGGTGCGGCCGATTGCAACCAAGCAAGGAGGTGCTTAACTAGATGTTATAGCAGTCCCATATAGATCATTTCAACGTTCTAATTTCAACGTTCTACCGTTAATCATTTTTTGTGTTTTGCGAGATACATATATATGTACGTAAGTACGCTCAGATGTCACAAAAAAATGAATCCGGATCCAATTTTGCAAAGTGTACTACTCACTAACAATGAATTGCAACGTGGTATATATGAAATGGCCGAAATTATTGAACAACAAGTGATCTCTGAATTTTAAGGGTTGATAAATTTGCCACACAGCTGGATGAATCAATTTTTAGAAATAACAGAGTTTTAACGATCTATGTGTATTATTATAGTGATGATAAAACATAAACAATGTAGAAATTGTTTTGTGCAAAGTCTCTCAAAAGATATAGAAGAGGAGAAAACATATTTCATTGTGTTGAAACCATCTTCTGTGAGTATAAGATTCCTATGTCTATCATTACTGCAGCTTTATGGGACAGTGTATAAGGGATGGTTGGAAAATATCAAGGTTTTCCAGGGTATCTCAACGCGATACCTAACATTAGGATCGTGTTTTGCTCAGGAAGCATTTAGTCATGAATAATATTCAGGAATTGCTTCACACTGTTTTAAAGCTATTCATGAAAGCAATAAATGCTACCAGAGCTAAAGTTTGGATTAACCGTCGTTTTGCATAACTACAATGATCAGAACTACCTCAGTTTGCTTCTTTACCCGGTAGTACGCTAGCTGTAAAAGGGTAACTGTTTGCTGTGTTTTACACACATTTTTAATACGGTGATAATATTTTAATATTTTCTTGAAGTTGGCAACCATATCACGACACAATTCATAAAATTAAAAAAATATGTATTTTATTTAGCTTATATATTCATTGTACGAACAAACGAAACAAACTATAAGGAAGAGACATCAGTCTCATTGGAGCAAGAACGCTAATCTTAGAGTTCCATTCTCAAACTGATTTGCTTACATTGACACTAATAGAAAAGAATTCCATTACTGTTATAACTTAATGCAATTGTCCATTGCTGAAAGGAATTTCATATCTTCCGTAAACTACCTACTTGCAAAATTTTAAAAAGATTTTAATGCTCGCATACAATACGTTGGAAATTTGAATGTGCTAACATGGATCATAGAACTGATATATATGGCCTTGATATTATAATGCAAGAAAAGATTATTGCACTGAAAGAGAATGTTTTTTTCAAAACATATAGGCACGTTCAGTTTTAGAATTTAAAATACATTCTAGAGAAATATCCTAAAATAAAAGTTGTTCCTAAAGAAATATCCTAAAACAAACCAATAATAGTATCTTTACACTCTTCGTACCTAGCGGAATTCGGCTTCAGTCAAGCCAATAATTTACTATGGAAAACAAGAAATAGGTTATATATTTTGCGGTGAGGTCATTTAAGAATCTGGTTAAGCAATTTTGAGCATCAAGTGCAGTCATAACATAAAAATATTAAAATAATCGCTTCAATAATGCATCAACTGCAGACATCACATCAATTAAAATCAAAACTTTTTCAGTTAGCGTCTATAATTTTCTGAAAACTTATTCATATATGTAAAATACAAAAATAATGCGAGAAATAATAAAACATTAATTTAATTAAACATTTCTTTTTTCTAAACTTTTACTCATATTTTCAATCTATATTTTGTCCTTAAGATATTTATGCGTAATTATTTGCATTATGATTTTATATTGTATACTCTATATTATAGAAAGAAATTTAAGGGGTTTCATGATGAAAACCACTTTTTTAAAAAGGTCAAAGCAAGAAAAAGGTTACGAATCTCTGTTTTGCACACATGCACGACTAATTAAACTTACAGCCAAAGGCGACGAAGAAATCGTGTCCTACTTATTCTGCTGATATCGGCGGATCATTATGACGTTATAATGAGTTTTAGAGTATTTGAATAACAGGAAACGTTAACAAATGAATTGCTTATACATTTCAAAATAAGGATATATGTTTCTGACAATTTTATCTTTGGGAATTAAGTATTTTTCTAAATGACAATGCTTTTATTAAATGCATATCATTCTAAATAACTACTTCCAGGACATGTTTTATTTCTAAAGTGTTCCACAAGAAAATAACTTCCTCAGTTATTTTTTAATTGCTTATTAATAGAGTTTCTAGTTTGCTATAATGAAAGTTCATCTCAGCAGTTCTGTGTTTGATTTAAGTGAACATTTTTATCAGGTAATTAAAAATGTCCAATCTTGTTGCCTCTTTCGGATAGCGATAGTGACGTTGAAATTAATGATGTACTATTTGGTCATCCACAAGACAACACTGCGAAGGAAGCTTACGGTTGGATTAAAGTTTGCACTTTCTGTAGATCTCGATTGGACATTCAACTGATTGGCAAAGTAGGGCACATACAAATCATACACGTTAAAAATGTCACTTCGAAGCACAACCAAAGAGCGAACAAAGCATCGAAAAAAGTCATTTGAAGTAAGTTCCTGTGTTTGAAAAAGAAGATTTATGTCTTATAGAGATTGCGAATAATCTTTCAGAAATATCAATGTTTATCTTTTGACGAATGTAGAATCGATGGGTGCAAGGACCAAAACCAACTAACCGGCAGCTTTGCATTACCACACGATAAGAGAAGGTGTCTTCGGAAAACATCGCGGACGAAAACGTCGCGGAGAAAACAACGCACTGCCATATCGTCGTGGTACAAAACATCGTGAGAGAAAATAAATCAGAGAGAAAACATCGCCTTTCTAAAACATCGTGGTACAAAATATCGTGGTCGAAAATAAAGCGGTTAAAAACTTCACAGTTTAAAAACATCGTGTTCGAAAATATCGTGGTAAAAATAAAGTACCTACAAAACATCGCATGAGAATAACATCGCACACATGCATATATGAAATATAGAAGTAAAAATATCGGTCTTTAATTCTTGAGCTCCCAAATCATTATGCGAATATGCATTTACAGCTTTTAAAACCTGAAAAACGCATGTAGGCGATGTTATCGTCATACGATTATTTGTAGGTACAGTACTTTATTTTTACCCCGATATTTTCGACGACGATGTTTTTAAACTGCGAAGTTTTTTAACCGCTTTATTTTCGACCTCGATATTTTGTACCACGATGTTTTAGAACTGCGATGTTTTCTCTTTGCTTTATTTTCTCCCACGATACTTTGTACCGTGACGTTTTCGTCTTGCGTTGTTTTCTCAACGACGTTTTCGTCCGCAATGTTTTCGACTGTAATCTAAGAGAAGCATATTGTGCATGGAGTAAAGACGGTTTATAAATCCAAATCACAAATTCTAACACAAAAATTAAAATGGTTTCACATCAGCCATTATCAATAAATACCATATGATGCTGGTTGTTTGCACAGGGGGACATATTTTGCAAGTTGTCCGATTACAGTTGACTTTACAATAGTAAGGCTACGATAATGTTTTGAATGCCGGACATAAATAAAAAAAAGACACAACGTTCAAAGGAAATATCGAATCTGCCTACAAAATTACGAGTGGCTATTAAATGCGCCGACAATGAGTACTGGAATGTGCATTGTCAGAATATCAAACTGCCAGCGTTAAATTTAAAGTTTGATATTGTGCTGTTATTGCTGGCATTCAGAGCCTTCTTGTGATCAAGTTTCAACACGATGATGTAGTATGAGCGCACGTGGCAGGCAACGTTCAATGATTTTGCTTTGATACCAGGTCGCTGTGCTACCTTGGCCGACCTGTTCTCCCGTTTCTCTAGTACCGAAAATGTCTGGTGAATGACTGGCAAACGAGTGCTCCAAAATGTACAACTCGTTGCTACACCAAATGAACGTTGGCAACATGTCTGAAAAACATAGACAAATACATACAAGCGTATATCCAAAGTCTCTTTCTTCTCGTGCCAAGGCGTGTTGTAACTGTTATTACCAACCATGGCTGGAACGTAAATTACTGATTCATTTGCTTTGGGCAAATCAAACGCCACTTTATTTTTAATCAATTTACGCCTGGAATTTATATAATTTTTCCAGTAAATATGGAATAAGAATTATTATTCATGGTGTTGCAGTTAGTTTGAATAGCCAACAGTGTGGTTGTGAATCAAGAGATAAAAGAACAAATTACATACGAAGGAATCTGTATATCATTCGCAAGAGTGATTTGGCCAAAATTTATTTTCTGTATTTCTGTTCTATTAAATGTTGTATTTGAGTTTCCCACAAGTAAAATTTATCGTCTTTCATTGCTTTGTTTTCTTTTGGTACTACATAATGTTTCTTCTTATTATCCCATTCTGGATAGAAACTTTGCCCGCGATTTTATGCATAAAAATATGAAAGTCGTTAGCTCTTTCAGGATTAATAATGGTATTATTAAACATATCTGAGTTTTTAAAATGAATGATGTAAATTATGTTGGAATCTTAAATGTGATCGATTAGTACCGATGAACTACGATGATCAAATTAAATTACAGTTACAAATTAAATTTTTAAGAAAATAAATGAATGGAAACGAAGTTATGAAATGAAGGAATGAAAATGAAATTATAAAATACTTGTGTAAACATATTAATTAAATTTACATTAATTTTCAGATATCTTCCTAAATGAGCAAACCTCAAAGAAAAAGTGGAAAATGCCTGTGGAGAAAGAAGAATTAGTCAACATTAGGAAGACGAACAACAGGCGTAAGAAGATTGTAGAAGAAGAGCAACTGGTAAATTGAATTGAGAAATTTATTCACATTCAAAACATATTCAAAATGTTTACGGATTTGAAATGCCTTAATATTAAAAACATTTCAAATTTTCCTATTTTATGCTTTCATGTATCTTCGTAAGTGTAGTTTTAGTTATCATTTTTAAAAGCCTATTTTAGATTTATAAAGATTACGGTTTTTAAAGTGTAGAATGGTATTAAAAACACTGAAATAATATAAGTTATTTTAAGTTTTAATTGTTAATATTTGAGCAGGGTGAATAACATTCTAAGAAAGGAAAAACTGTAGAATGATTAGTTAAATGCAATATTGATACCACTTTTATTTTACCATGTTCAAAAGATTTTGCAAGGTTTCTGAATTTGAAAGTATTATCCACATTTATGAAATCAAAACCTCCAGGCTATCATTATCATTTGCGTTGAAATAAATGGGAACAGCAGTACAATAGGCATAGTCTTTTCTCATATCATCTCATCAGTCTTTACAGCTATACTCTATTTTTACACTCGTGCACAAAAAATAAGCAACAAACTCTAAAAGAAAATATACGAACGAAAAAAGAGGAAATAAAACATACAATTTACGCATGATGTTGAGGTTGCATCGACAAAAGCAAATAAACAACCAAAATTAGCACAACCCAATGCAGCAGTCACACCACAACGCCTTAGCTAGAGATATGCGTCAGTTTACAAGCAGCGATGGTTCCGTGTAATCCGAGGTAGCCAAAGCGGAAATCATGAGCCGTAAACAGCAGTTGCATGAAGAAATGCGTTCGAGGATTGTCGGAATGTTGCAGGCTCGTACAAGACAATGTGCTATTACAAGAGAGCTTAATGTGCATAGCAGTGTCATCAATAAGCTGTGGAATCGTTACCAAAGGGATCAAAATCACTGTACAATATGTGGGTCTGGAGGTTAGAGATTGCCAATAAGGCAGACGATCGCTTCCTGTTTCTATGTGCAAGACCCCCGTAAATCACTAACACCACGACAGTTGACGTCGCATGTCTGCTCTGCAGGACGACCCATATCCCGCCAAACTGTGTCGCTTCGACTGCATGAGGGTGGACTGTACGTCCGACGACCTGTGGCTTGTGTACCCATGTCACTCATCGCATGTCAGAGCACGATTGCATTAGGCCCGTGCACAACGCAGTTGGACACAGAGAAGTAAGGCTTATGTACCCTTTAAGAATGAGTCTTGATTTAAAATCCAGAACGATTCCCAAAGGATTATGGCATGGTGTTAGTCAGAGACTGCTATCGGACGCCAGGTATAGTCGAGAGATCATTAGAGAGCAGAAGACTTACTTGCATGGGCTGGGATAACAATGAATGGCTGTAACGACCTCTAAGTGACTCCTGGTGGTTCCGTAACAGTGGTACGATATCGCGACGAAATTCTACACCTTCTTGTAGGTCTGTTTATGGTTGCAATGGGTACCGACGCGATATTCATGGGCGATAATCCCCGCTCTTGTAGAGCTCAAGTAGTGCGGAGTTACCTGGAGAGTGAAATCATTCCACATCTGCCGGGTCCTGTGGATTACTGGACTTGAATCTCACACAGAATATGTGCGACATGTTGGGACGACCGATAGGAGGTCTCTGTTTGCTGCCAGGCACCCTCCACGAACTCTGACTTGCATTAATACAGTTGCTACTCTCACAATAAGCGATCAACGACACTATTGCCAGCTTGCCTCTCCCTTATCAAGCTTGCATTTTAGGCAGAAGTTATAATATCCGTTATTAGCTTGATGTTTCTATTGCATAGTCTTCCGACCCTTTTGGTATTTAACGATTTGATAGTTATAATACATGTGTTTTTGTATGTCTTTGCTTCCTCGTTTTCTATGCGGTTCAGTAATGCCACAGTAAACTCTTGGAACAGTTTTACGCATATCTATTAAAGAGATTTTGTTTTATTCCGCATTTTGCTGTTGTTGCTTTTTTTTTTTTTTCAGCCAGAGTGTATCTATGAGGTCTTACTTCATTTGCAGAGGACAAAATCTGCCAATAATCGTACAATAGCATCAAGTACATCCATATGCATTCTGTTTCTGTTTTTCTTTTCAAATGATAAAAAGCAGATTACAAACTGACGTTAGTAGAAATATCAGAAATATAGAAGTCAGCTGAATTCTCTGGCACCAAAATAGGAAGAGAAATGTCATAGTTTTTGGATTTGTCTTAAAATGGTTAATGTTATAATGCATTTCTCCTATTTCTCCTACCTTCTTAGCATGCCTTCGTAGTGTATTCCAAAGGTCCGTGGTTCGATTTCAGGCTAAGGCGTTGCTCATTTTTCATCTCTCTTGCATCCTTTTAATTAATCTGATAGCTCTACACTGGCGCCCGAACTAAAAAGGGTGGTGGATGATGATTCTCTACACCCAGGATCTGGGGATTGGGTCCCTTAAAACCCCAGTAACCTGGCAGAAAGTTGGTTGTTACCAGTTAACACTTTTTCTTTCATACTTTAAACTTCCATTGCTCATAAATGTAACAAAATGAAAGAATTAAATGTATTATACTGTTCTCAGTAAAATACTCCACCAAGTGTATTTAAATTGACATTACTGATGTAAACTTAAATACACTTTATAAGGTACTTCTCCCACTTCCCTAGCGTGCCTTCGTGGTGTAACGGTAGCACGCTGGGCCGGTGTTCCAGAGGTCCGTGGTTCGATTCCTGGCGAAGGCGGTTGCATATTTTTCATCTTATCTGCTTCCAATTAACCTAATGACTCTACAAGTGGCGCCCGAACTAAATGGGTTGTGGATGATGATTCTCCGCACCCAGGATTTGGCGACTAGGTCCCCTAAAACCCTAAACGCCCTTTAAAAAGGGTGAGTATATAAGGTATTTCTCCCGCCTTTTTAGCGTGCCTTCGAAGTGTAGTTGTCTGCACGCTGGGCGCGTATTCCAGAGGTCCGTGGTTCGATTCCCGGTGAAGGCGTTGCTCATTTCTCATCTCTCCTGCTCCGAAATAACCTAATAGTTCTACAGTCTGACAACCCTGATCTACTTTTATTCATGATCTGTCTTTCTTATTTAAAAATTTGAGGTTTACAAATAGTTAAACTTTGAATGTTTTGCCGCCCCAGCCTTCTTTTAAAGCTGGGTAATATTTATTTTCTAACTATAAGTACTATTAATATAATGACTTCAATGCCGCCAGTTTATTACATTTCAGTATCATTCACGTCGTTTAAATTTATAAATATAGCATTTTAAATGAATTAGGAAACAATTTTTATTTTATGGTCTTCTTAGAATAGACATGTAAAAGATTAATATAATCTAATTATTACAAAAATGTTACTGCATCCCGCATATTTCATAAATTTAGCTGCACATTTTTGAGTAATAGCATTTTTGAGCAAATAAATAGGGAGTAGCGGAAAATAACTTGATTACACTCGTTTATTTCTGTTTATGTTAGATAATTTTCAAGCAATTTCCAAGACAGAAAATGCGTAAAATAGATTTTAAACTTATGTTAGAAAATCATGTACTATACTGCCTTTAGTAAAGCTAATTATTGACTGGCTGATTTGGTTTTCATTTCATTTACAGCAATACCAAGGATATAAACTTTCATACACAAAACTGCTTGTCACATGTCTGGCTGTGCTACTATCAGGAGGTCTACTTTGGTTTTTTATGCAGTGGTACCGCCGAGTGTATTTGAGATGTACTCACGAGAAATGTTCAATAGAAAAAGCATCGAAAATTCTGCTTGTGGTAAGATGCTGATATTTTCATTTGTCAATTCTATGCACCTTTAGATTACTTCGAAGAAGAAAATGAAAGAAATTAACTATGCTGTAACCGGAATTTCATTTTTTGGTTTTTATTTTGGTTCATTTTTTGGTTTGGGTTTATTAAATTATAGCAAAGCACTCGAGAGTTATCTGTCAAAAGTGCGGGATCCCTTTGCGGATGATATTCTAAGGGAAACTGACTCGCATACACGTCAAGCATGGGGGAAACCCCGAAAACTCCCGTTCAGAAGCCTTGTTTGCTGGGATTCGAATCCCAGACCGAACTACCAATGTTTAGAGATTTTACCGCTCGGACGCCTGTGGACCAAAACTAGAGCTTGAACCAGTGATCTTCCAGCGTTCGCCTAAACATACTAAATTCAGAAAACTCGCAATCTACCAGGCTATAATTACATATAAAATAATTATATAAAATCATAGATGTTCTACAAATTGCTAAGCGTATTCGCATCGGAAAGATGGAGTTATACTACAATAAGTAAAGTGAAATATTGCCACTTTTTGATCGCATCGATATTTTATGTTTGTATCGTCATTTTTTGATTGCATTGTTATATCCTAACATTACGTCATACTTTTACGTCATTACTTATTTATTTCATTCTAATCATCACTAACTGCATCATTACCCTGCAGATCAGTACTTATTACATCATTTCACATTAATTGGGTTCATTTACATCTGTGGCAGTACAAGTGATCTTAACTTTATCATTCTGCAAATTCATTTTTGCTTTGCTTTTCGTTCTTTCGCTGTGCTTTGTAATTTCTTCTACTCTTCCCATTACATGACACATTTACAAAAGTATTGGTTTTAATTGTTTTCAGATAAAGCTTGTAAAGATTTGTCTATATACATTAAAAGACAAAAGAGCTTTAGGTTTAATTCTTATACTGTACATATATTACGGTAAAAACTTAAGAATAAGTGCAGACAAACTTTGATAAACCAAATTTTAAGAGAACAGGGAAAAAACTCGAGCAATCAAAATTAGTTTCACGTTGTTCTTAGAAAACTAATTGGATTAAAATCATTCTAGAATTCTGTTGTAGGTATGTATACAGAACCAACTGATAAAGCAAGATAAAAATTATGACGTATACAAGGTATTTTCTCTCTCCTTTCCGTATGTCTTTGTGCTGTAACTGGAAGCACGTTCGACATATATTCAGGACGTTAGGAGTTCGAGTCCTGGCGAGATCAATTATAGATCCCACAAGGTCCCACAAATAGCTGAAGACTTGAATACTGGTACATAGATGTCGATTCGAATCCAGGGTAACGGACTGGCTGCATGCTTGCGTTTCTCATGTGTGAGGTGAATACTAACCAGTTTCTTTTTTTTTTTTTTTTTTTTTCTTCAGAATTCCTCAGCGAAGGCATCCCTTCTCTTAAGTAGCTTTCTTGTGCTTTTTTGCAATCAAGTAACCTAACCTCTTTATACATAAGGTATGATTTAATCGAAGTAATAGCTGTAACCAAAATTACAGAATAGAATTTACGAGTTGCATTTGTTTATCTAGTCTCCTGTACGTCTTGTAAAAATAGATGTTTTCTGGTGTAACGTATCAGTGTGATAAATTACTGAGCATCTGTTCTTGGAAACAATCAGAGATCCTGAGACTTCTGAACATACTACCTAGCAGTTAATTTGCTTCATGAGAGGGAAATGGACATCAACTCCTATATATGACGAAATGACAGGCAATGCCTTAAAATAAAGGTGGAAGAGCATTCGGGTGACTGAATCATAGTTAAAGACGTTAAGATTTGCTGCTGTTAACAATCTCATTTGTCTGACAATAATCTGTACAAACCCACAACACTTATCGTGGCAAGGAGGCAAATGCGCCTGTCGATGTCAAGAGCCTTGAGCACCATTATGGGTGACAACCCGACTTTAGTTCATTTCTGTACCAAATTTTGAGAGAGAGAACCCGGGGACATGGGTCCGCAGGCCTACAACCGCTCTTCACTTACCACAAATCTCTAAAGAAGACATTCGGCTCATCGCATATTTTAAACGCCCCCCATACCGCACAGACACTACAGATACTATACATTTGCAAACATCCATGCTTTCTCCGGGATTCGAACCCGGATACCTCGGTACGGCAGTAAGCGTCAGTAACCACTATCTCTGTTGGGCGGCACATTACGATCAGCAATTCTTTAATTAATTTAGATTACTTTTTGTAAGGACATTTAAAAATATATGTCATGAATAATACATAAAGAACTAAAAATAACCATCGCCATTGCAATGAAAAAATATAGATTCAGAAAAACCTTCATGATGATAACATCATGAAGGTTACGAGCATTCTATCACGTGAATACAAATGCATTGGATTACAATGGTTTATTTGATTTGCTTTAGCCAATTATGTTAAATCACTCCAAGAACTATCTACCTAAAGGCAGGGATACATTCACGAGAATTTACCAAGAGAAACTAGCTTGTATTTATGTTATACGTAGGAGAATACAAATAAAAAAAAACCAAGCAACCAGCACTTCCGCTTGTATTTGAACTTTAGTTGAACGACCAGTATTCAATGATCTCATCCACTCGGCTACCGGTAGACTTCAGCTAGATGGACTTCATACACTGTCTATAACTTTATTAACACACACAATCTTCAAGTTATATATCTCATCAGTATGTGCACGTATTGTTTCTACAAAGTGCTTACTTTTAGGTTAAGCATGCTGTATTTGTATGTATGTAGGCAGCGAGCAGGTGTCACATCCGTTCCAACACTCATGGGCCTTAAGAAATTGAATTGAATTTAATATCTTCACTATATTTCAAACTCAGCTAGTCAGTTAAATAATATAAATATCAATGATATTTTTCAAATATAAACAATGAAAAGTCTTTAAGCACTGTTATTTTAACTAGTATTTTACATAACGAAAAATTATGTTGCCAATTTTTCTGCATAATAAATTGTAATTATATTTGTTGAATCTGTTTGACAGTAAAATCTGCATTGACAGTCGGATACGAGTCGCAAAATTAAAAACGATAAGCTGATGTAATTGAGATGATATTATTCATTCGTAATGACTTCAGAAGGGGTAAACGGAGGGGATACAAGTAATTGATGACGAAGGCAAAAGATTTTAAACGAAATATATATATGTGTGAGCTGACACGCAGATATCGCGTAATTATGCGTAATCGTTTGCGTAACAGTATACTTATACACGGTCATTTATCATTCTGGACATTTCTCTACTTCCGCATGCATTTCAATCTTTTTTCAATTCGTGTTTTACTTCGGAAGAATGCAGAGGCAGATCATTTCGGATTGCTGCACCCATCTTAAATATATTTCCTGATTTGTAATCACGTGATAAAGAATTATTCTTGTGTTAGAAGCGAAAAACATCTTTTCAGAAAAAAACATGACAGTTTCTCTGAACTGCAATATATGGGGCATTTTACGTACCAAATAGTTCCTGAAATTCGAAAAGGAAAGGTCTTCTGCACACTTGCAGTAAAAGTATTTTCCTATAGTTTTCTTAATTTGAAGCGATAAGATATATTTAGAAAGAATACAGTCATTGATTTGAAATTATGCCACTCATTTTAAAACCGTTCTGGACATATTTAACGTAATGAAGCCAAAGCCACAGCGCGAATGTTTTCGAATTTATTTTCAGACATGATTCCGTTTACCTCTACAGACATTTATTCCGACGCGACGCCTTGCAAAAACATTCAAAAAACCAGATGTAATAAATCTTTTCACCCAAGCATCTTTGCGCAATATTTGGAAAAATATAGAAATATAGCATGTTTCCGCAAATATTCTTTACGTTTTCTTTATTCAAATGTATTAAAAACTGGCTCAAATTTAAAAAAAAAAAAAAAAAAAAAAAAAAAAAAAAAAAAAACAGTAAAAAGTGTGTATGTTAGAGTGTTGATTAACCGAACAATTTACATGAAATGTTTATTTAAAACGAAGATGAAAAGGTTCTTTGGTAAATATAACATAATACGTGACACGTTAAAGGTAGATAATGCGTCTTACTTGAAACGGGAGAAATTTAAATAATACTTTATTTATCTTAATGAACATTTTACGGTCAGGCACATTAATCGTGCCCGTTATAGAACGTAGCATTTATATTTTTTATATGGTTCTGATAAGAAAGAAGCAACAATCTATATAGGCCGATAAAGTGCGATGTGTTCAATATAAAATCTTATTTCAGAGTGAATTAGTTTCGATTTTAATACCATTTTAATTGATTATTTAATAAAGTTCTAAAACTCTTTTTGGCTGTTTGAGCTTTAGTTCCATTTAAGTCACCAGCCTTATATAAAAGTCATGTGATATGAATTAATATAGAAATGATGCAGTCCAGAATTAGTTATTATAAGCCATTGCTATTTTTAGAACAGAAAGGGAAGTATCTAAATTAAAATGAAGAATAATGGGCTACTGCTAATTTACTATTGCTATAATTTCGATTTACCTAATTCACAGTGGGTAGTGCGGGCAAAGATCTGTAAAGGACGAGAGCAAAGTTATTACTGAAAGAGGATAGAAATCTATCGATTTTCGAGTTGTCAGCTTAATACTGCAACAAAATGTCACAATATTATTAAAAACAGATGAAAATATCGCTTTCATGCAAGATGGTTGCCATGTTCACTGACTGAGTGAAGAACAGAAAATCCATCGTACTGAATACTGCCAGACATTTTCTCAAGGAGTGGCAATCCTAAGGTACTTGAAAATAATAATTGCTACTCAAGTCCTGGATCAGACATTATGAAGACAAATCAAAACAACAGTCCAGCGGATGAAATTAGAGCAACCCTCTGCCTTCCAAAAGGTTCCTGATTTCTAAATCTTCAAAAGCATTACTGTTAATTTTCCTTTCTTATATAGTAATATTCAGGTTCCATAAAAACAAAAACTATAAATAGAGATTATTAT